CATCTCTGAGCGTTTCTCAAGATTCGGGCGATCTCGTCGAGGTCGACTCCCGAACAGTATCGAATAGAGATAAAACGACGCCCGCATCTCCTAATATATTAAAACAACGCATCCCTCCATACAGCACATCTATTAATATTATATTATAACGCGCGCCTTTGTATCTCTGTACTGTTACAAATAAAAACGCTCTCCTTCCATGCGAGAATCTCTCTTTATTCGACCTCCGTCTATTCGAGCGATAACCTCGACGTCGACCTATCCATCGATCTATTTCTAGATCTACGCAGTACGCGCGACAAGTCTCGTATCGCGCCGAGGTTCGCCGGCGATATTTTATTATCTAATCATTTTCAATTTTCAGTATTTACATGTTTCGGTTCGTCGCGACTCCCCGGGTCCTCGGGTCGGAGATAAAGCGACGATCGCGACGCGTCTATCGGAAAAATCGATCGGTAGGCGCAACGATTCTCTCATCTCGTCGTCTTCGATTTATCGTATTTACGTGTCACGGGTCATCGCGACTCCCAAGGTCGGAGATAAAGCGTCGCCCGCGTCTCGCGTCTTTAACGCATCTGAAGCGATAACGCGATCTCTCGACTCGATTTCATCACCCCCTACCCCTCACGCCTCTCACCCCGCTCGAGCTCCGTGGCTTCCCCAACCCCCCTCAACCCCGCTTCCCCTCTCACCATACGTACTCCCCCTTTTCTTCCCCCCTGCCCGACATGCCTCACTCAGATAGTATAGCACTATTAACTCTGATTTGCGTATCGCGGTGCCAAGGCACTTAATAAGACTATGTCGAAGCTGGAGAGCAAGTACGTAAGTGACTGTATGTCCCTTCGAGTCCTCTTTTTATATCTCTCTTTTCGGGGTGTATTCTAATTTCTAAGAGTGGGAATCTTCCAAAACTTCAACGAATTAAAAATTGTGCCAGTGTCCTCATTAGGCGGTGTGTTTCTCCTACTTCTCGAATTTTCACTCGTGGTGATCGTCGATTGGTGATCAGTTCAGAACCCCTTGAGCTCTAGATTTCTCTTACGCACGTGATCTGATTAGAAAAAGTCTTACTTTCTGTAGTTATTGAATGTGTCGTCACAGAAGTTTCGTCATTATTGATTTAGTTTTATTTGTCAGATATTTCGTGAGAATTTTATTATCTTTTCGATATCAGTTTATTATTCCGCTGGAAAATTCTATTGCGAGAGTATCTACTGATTTTTATTTATTTTTAGGCGACCAGCGCGGTTTCGTCACCGGTCTCTCGCGTCTTTCCCACGGTTACTCATAGATATAGATATTGACAAGTG